GAGTGAGTGCGTGTGAGTGAGTGAGTGTGTGTGAGAGAGTGAGTGCGTGTGAGTGAGTGAGTGTGTGTGAGAGAGTGCGTGCGTGTGAGTGAGTGTGTGTGAGAGTGCGTGTGTGTGAGAGTGCGTGCATGCGAGAGTGCGTGAGTGCGTGTGAGTGAGTGAGTGCGTGTGAGTGAGTGAGTGCGTGTGAGTGAGTGAGTGAGTGTGTGCGTGCGTGTGTGAGTGAGTGAGTGCGTGTGAGTGAGTGTGTGTGAGAGAGTGTGTGTGAGTGAGTGAGTGTGTGTGAGAGTGCGTGCGTGTGTGTGTGTGTGAGAGTGAGTGTGTGTGAGTGTGAGAGAGTGAGCGTGTGAGTGAGTGTGTGTGTCTGCGTGCGTGTGTGAGTGAGTGTGTGTGAGAGAGTGCGTGAGTGTGTGTGTGAGTGTGTGTGAGAGTGCGTGCATGCGAGAGTGCGTGCGTGAGTGAGTGAGTGTGTGTGAGTGAGTGAGTGTGTGTGTGTGTGAGAGAGTGCATGCGTGCGTGTGTGTGTGTGTGTGTGTACCTGTGGCGTTCGGTGGAGTTCATACAGACTCAGTTCCCATGTCTTCTTCAGGCTTTGCACACTCACTGGATTGGCCATCATGACTTCACTGAGAACCGAAGCAGAACTAAAGCAGAACACAGCCATGCAAACTTCATCAGTCATTTAAATTCACCAAAGTATCAACAAAATGAAACTAAACATGCACAGATGTTCCTAAACTGAGTTCAGGAAGCAACATCTATTACATAATACTTCCCTCCAGCAAAAGGGGGTTTAAAGGTGTAATAAAACCGTGAACTATTATTATTGCATACATATTATTCATGTTTTTGTCTGCGAAATATTACAGTATTGCATATTTATAATAGTATTCACATGGTGCTCCGTGGTACTTAAAAACTCCCACGACATTACCACGGTACCAGGTCTTAAAAACATGGTAATACTCCAGTACTTTTGTTAGTTTCATCCACTGATGCTGAAGAGCAGAAGAAAGCTCGGGTGTCTCTCTGCACTCACACTGTCATCTGCAGCTCGCGACAAAACCTCCTAAAATCCAAACAACCTCAGACCGGATGTTGTGTCTGCGGAGTCACCCCTCACTTCCTGCCCGATGCCCCCTGGCGGCGAAGCGCAGAATTGCGCGCACATGTTCCTTTATTCAGTTTTGTTGGCTTGTTGTTTGAATTGCTTTGACAGACAGTAAAAGTGCTGCTTGAAGCCACTCAGTGAAGCCACTCATAGACCGAACCTCTAGAGCAAAACTACAAGCTTTAAACTCAGTTTGCTTTTGTAAAACAAACTTTTTGCTCAACTCTAAACAGTTCTCTATATTTCACCCATCATTCAAAACGAACAGCTCTTGTGAAACACTGCATTCACATGCCACACTGATTTACTGACGACCTTCAGCCAGTGATCATCACTCTTCACAGCACATCATCTCTTCACTTAGCAATCAAAACTCAGTGTTTGGAGAAAGAAAATATTTTTTACACGCTTGCATTTCTGTTTAGACAGTGTGTGTGTGTGTGTGTGTGTGTATATACTGTGTGTAAGTACCGTACACACACACACACACACACACACACATATATATATATATATATATATATATACACACACACACACACACATACACATATATATACAGTGGGT